GTGGACATCTTTCCCTTCCCTTCCCTGACATCCTTCCCTTCCCTTCCCTGACATCTTTCCCTTCCCTTCCCAGACATCTTTCCCTTCCCTTCCCTGAAATCCTTCCCTTCCCTTCCCTGACATCTTTCCCTTCCCCGAGGGAAAGGTGCCCCATGCGAAATAAAGCTGTATCCCACTGAGAATTCCATCTGTGCCTCGGTGCCTTCCTCCATCCACTCGCTCTCTCCCACTCTCTACCTATCACAAAGAATTAATAAATCCCAGAGCTGTTTCTTTGAAAGTATAAATAAAATAGACCCTTAACTAAGCTATCCAAGACAATAAAAAAAAAGATGGATAACCCCAAATCATCAAAATCAGAGATGAAAAGGGAAACATTATAATGGAAAGGAACATAATCCAGAACATTAGAAGGGATCACACTAAAAACCTATACTGTTTTAAAGTACAAAATCAAAAATAAATGGAAGAATTTCTAGATGTAATCAAACCACCATCTTAATTAGATCTGTAACAAATAAGGAGGTTGAAACACTAATACAAAGCCTTCTGATTAAAAAAAAGCCCTGGTTCAGATGGATTAGCATCAATTTTTTACCAGACCTTCAAAGAAGTATGACCAAAACTGCATAAATTATTCAAAAAGACAGGAAAGAGGGAGAATTCCAAAACTTCTACAAAGTTAATATAATAATACCAAAAAACAGACAAAGACACACATACACACAGACATCCCTAATGATCATAGATGCATTGATTAGTTCAATCATGAAGTTTTTTTTCTTTTGTTTCCTTTTTAAGCCATTTATTTACTATTCAGTTTTAGCTTTATAAACACCGATAACATGTACTACCAAAAATATTTTAATTGGTACATTAAATACTCAATAAAATACTTACAAACCACATACAGACATGTCAAAAAGATTATCCAACATAATCAATTTTGTTTGATTATAGGAATGCAGGGATAGTTCAATAATACATAAACAGACTTTAAAGACATAACTTTATATGATCATCTCAATAAATGCAGAGAAGGACATGGCCAAAATTCAAGCAGGGGGTGGAGGGAGGATCAATTAGTTAGGCGTGGGAGGGTGACCATATCCAGAATTCTCTCAGAGGTTTTGGTGCCAAATGTAAGAAAATAGGAATGAGG